CTCATTCTTAATTGTCAGCCAAACTAGCTAGTGCCAGAAAGTTCCTTGGAAGCTGGTTAGCCAGTATTATACATCAGAGAAGCATATTTCCTAAACTGCCTTCCTTGAAATTTTAATAGACATTCCATGAAGTGAGTTTCTCTGGTTAAGTAAATTTGAGAAATGCTGCATTTTTATTCTTGCATTAGCAGTTCATGGTTATGTTAGGGCCAAACCCAGAAGTCTTCCAGTAGGACCTTTGTCTCTGTCTCTCTGCCTTTCTCCCCCTCGCCTTCCTCTCCCCTTTCTCCTTATTTAAATCCAAGTTTATTTTTAGAATGCTTTTTTGGGGGGTTGTTTTGCTTGTTTACAAGATTGAGGGTCCCAGCTCACATAGCTAAGGTAATAGGACACACGTTTAGAAACAGCTTTGAAATCGATCCAGCCGAGCCAAGTTGCTTACCCTCAAACACCTGCAAAAAAAAGTCTAAGTCTGATATTACTATAGATGGAGTAGTTTGAACAAAAATCACATTTATGACATAAACTCAAAAATGTTTCCTGTTCTGCACTCAGAATTTCAGTCTGATTTTGTTCTGTTGTTTCCCTACAGTGGATGTAGAGGTCACCTTGCACCTGTCCTCTGCTCTGTTAACCATCGGGTCCACTCTTCTGTCTAAAGCAACCCAGGGCTGCCCTTAGCTCTATGTGGCAGTCTGTTCTTGTTGTTTCTCAGGACAGTGACTGGGGGGGTCCTTCAAGAGAACTCTTCTGTGGAATGTTAAGTCCAGGTGAGAAACTGGACACTTATGAATTGGAGGCTACTTGGAGGTATTTCAGCTATTGAATCACTCAGCAGGTGGATAAACCTCGGCCAGGGCCAGGTTGGATGGGGTAAGCTGGGAGGGAGGGACCCTGGGGAAAGAGGGGCAGTGAGATTCACTGTGAGGTAACTCACTGTTTGGGGCATGTTCTCGAGGCCAGAGAACTTCAGAGGGCCTCATGGTGCCACTGGTAAGGATGTGACTGACCTCGCAGGCCTGCGGCACAGACCATTCACTTCCCATTCCTGTGATGATCTCTGAGGTCCAACAGTGGAGGTATCTGCAGGGTCCACTGCTGGGGGAAGAGCAGCAGAAGTTTCTCACCATCCTCGTTGAGACAGTGGGGGATTACAGGGCCCAGCAGAAAAGTCTGGCCAAGCCAGCTTCCCCTGACACTGTCCAGACGCACGCCTGCGGATGAGGCACAGCACCTCCTTTGTCTGGGGACCTGTGACAGCCCCACCTGAGGCCATGACATGACCTTGGTTGGTTATCTGAAGGAAGCCTCTTCTCTCAGGTTGTTGTCAGCCACCTTTCCTCTGGGGACAGCTGCTCTAGCCTACTAAGCCAGCCTTCCTTCCTGTGACCTCTGGTGGCTGTCACTGGTAACATTGCTGGAATGATAGGAAATACATAAGCAGGAAGTGTCTTTACTGTCTCGTGGCTGACCACATCTCTGTAGCCACCTTTCACCTCCACAGCTTCCTTGCAGCCTTCATCTCCTCCTAGAGATCAGCCACCACCAACACGGGGTTTGGGTGCCAGACTATAATTGTGACTATCAGCTGTCACTTGGGCAGGAGTTAGCCTCTGGGCCTCCATGGGCTAAGCCATTTCCAGGTGTCAGGACATCCACCCTAACTACTTCACAATATTGTCGCAAGGATTCAGTGATATAAAGGCCATATGTGAATTGCCATTGTCATTGCCTCAGAGCCATGAGTGTGATTCTGTGGCCGTGGAATGTTTGATTTCATGTGTTCCAGGGAAGGCATTTGAACTCTTTCTTCTGATTCCTTGTGGGAGGTTCTGTCCCAATCCATAAGCATTTGCTAAGCGGCTAGTACATGTGTTTCCTCGTGGACTTAACTGGTTTTATCATCTCATGTCCACTGCCATGTGCCATGTACCACAGCTCCTGCCGGGATCCATCAGTGACCAGGACCAGCTAGGCCCTCCATTAAGGGGGTCTTCATTCAAATGCTTGGGGGGTTCACTGATAGTTGAAGCGTTTCATATCCTCAGGTCATTTTTGCAGTTTGTAACAGATGCTTCAATAATCAAGTCAGCTTGTGAAAAGGCTTTCACAGGAGGTAAACCAAGTTCTTCGAAGCGGAGGGGTGGGGCTGCTGCCTGGTGTGTGAGAGGCAGCAGCTAGAGGCAGTGGATTTCCACTGTGCCTTCTAGTGCTAGACGAGTGGCCGATGGGAGATTACCTGGATACTTGAGGTCAACAACTGGAGGATGACAACAAAGCAACTTGGTGTCTATTTCTGGTCCTGGAAGAGCTGCAGGATACTCATGAAACTGTGTGTCCTCACCCTGGAGTCACATTATCCTTTGAGATAATGGTTAAATGGTAGCTGGACGCATTGGATGCTTTCTGTTCTAAATACTAATTTTATAAGTGCTAACTCCATCTTTCTAACAACTATCTAAGGGCAGGTACTTCTGTCATCATATCCGCTTTACAGATGAGGAAACTGAGGTATAAAAACAGTGAGTTGCCAGCCCAGAATTATTTGGCACCTAAGTAGTAGATTCAGACTCCAGCACAAGGGCTCCAAAACTTGTGTGCTCACCTCTGTGCTGGACCACTTCTCAAGCCATCAGTTTAAAAGTCAGTTGTATGCTAAGTGTTCAGGGGTAAAATGACCCCAGGTCTGGGATTTTCTTAAAAAATGCAACAAGTGGAAGGAAGGAAGGACCACAGATGTTAAAATCTTGATAAATATTTATTGTAGGTTATTTAAAAATGCCTATGGAGTCATTATTAGCAGTTCCTAACTTCTATAATAAAAAATAGAAACGATTTCTTGTGAATTTGGAGATTTTGAAATATTTGTTATTGTTGGTATCAAGAGTTTTAAAATTATCTGGATCATTGCATATGCTTTTTACTAAGTTAATCAGTGCAATTGTGGCTGTGAAGTGGAATCCCTCTTTTGTATGTTAAAAACTACTTTCCTCCAGGTGCCAGGGAGCACCCGTAATCCCAGTGGCTTGGGAGGCTGAGGCAGGAGGACCACAGTTCAAAACCAGCCTCAGCAGCTTGACAAGGCCCTAAGCAACTTAGTGAATTGACCATGGCACACGCCTGTAATCCCAGCGGCTCGGAAGGCTGAGGCAGGAGGATCGTGAGCTCAAAGTCAGCCCTAGCAAAAGTGAGGCGCTAAGCAACTCAGTGAGACCCTGTCTCTAAATAAAATATAAAATAGGGCTGGGGATGTGGCTCAGTGGTCAAGTGCCCCTGAGTTTAATCCTTGGTACCTCTCCCCACCCCCACTCCCCACCCCCACCCCCCCAAAAAAAAGAGAGAGACGGGGAGGGGGGGCTGGAGATATGACTCAGTGGTGAAGTGCCTCCTGGGTTCAATCCCTAGTGCCCCAAACAAACAAAACTACTTTCCATCTAGTCAACAAATGTGATGGCCGTGTGCCTTATTTTTTTTTTATATTGATAAGGGTTCCCCTGCTTGCGCAATGTGTTCAGTGGAATAGTGTAACATTTGAGTTGGAAGAGCTCACAAAGACAGCTCCTTCCCAGACTCATTTGGCAGCTGTGGAAGTGGAAGCTCAGAATTTAAGTGATTGGCTGGAGATTAAAGTGGAGCATTAAAAGCATGATCTATTGCCAATCAGTAATCAGTTAATGAGGGTGCAGGAATTAAAATCTGGAGCTTCCAAGCTCTAGGCCTTTCCAGGTCCATCGGAAGGAGCCTGTCCTGGTAAGGGGCCACAGCCACCCGCCTGGAGACTCAGACTCAGCCTACACTTGGGACTCCTGCTATGTCAGGCAGGTGCCAAGTAAGGAGTCTGGGATGTGAGATGAAGGCAGCGAGTTCCCCCAAGCTTGGGACCAGAAGGGGTCACGTGGGACTTCAACTTCCCCTGGCTCTACTCAGAGGACTAAATGTGGCTTCTTCTCGCACCCTTTAAGAGCCTCACGTGGATCAGCTGGTGCCCCCAGTGCCACCTACTTTGGGGCTTGAAAGGACCCATTTATTCTGTTTTCTCCACTTTTCTTGTTGCAGAGCCCAGCTGTGTCACCCTCAAAGGGCCTGTGTAAAAAAAACCATTGCCATTGCACCTTCTCAGAGGCGCACCTGGGTCTCAGTGGCACTAAAGTCTACTCTTTCATGGGCCAGAAGCCAGGGCCCCAGGCTTTTCCCAAGAGAAGAATGCAAATGGTCTTAGCAAAAGTGTCCAGAGTCTCCACACCACTGGCCTCATTTCCTTATCTGAGAACTCCTGGAGAGCATCTCAGAGCTAAAATCTCACCACTCCACGTCTGGTGGATACCCCCTGCCCCTCACATCCCACCCCCATACACACTGCCTTCGCTGGCAATCGTCCCTTAAGGTTTGGAGGATCTCAAACTCAAATGCTTTCAGGACCCCAGCAGGTAAGATGAATGCATGAAGCTGACCCATGTAAGACCGGAGTGACCTGAGAGGAATGGTCATGGTCTCTTTCAAAGGGTTTGCCACACTGTGATGCCCATGTAGAAAACCCCGGGCAGAGCAGCCGGCTCTTGGCCACCTCTGACATAGGGGACACCAGGAAGGCCAGGTCCCACCCCTGGTCACCCCTGTGACCTCTGCACAGCCTTAATACTGCAGAACCTCAGGTTTTCTCATAAGAATTGGGCCTCAAAGGCTTCAAGGTGCCACCTCCTCCAAGTCTCAGCCTCTGACCTGTGATAGAATACACGTCTCCATAGCAACCAGGGCCAGGATGGTCTGACTAACATATTTGCAAAATGCCCGCCAGGCCCGTGTGATCTAACTAACCTTTTAAAACTAGTGTCCTTGTTTTGTTTTGTCCCCTGTAACTAAATGGCCCACACTTAACCTTCATTCTGGGGGTGCTCTCGATGTCAGAAGTTGCCTTTTCTTTTTTGCCAGTTTTCTCTTCTTTCTGAAAGCAGCCATGAGCAGATGAGCTTAGAAAGGGTGTTCTCTTCGTGTTGTTTCAGGGAAAATAGAGAAAGTCAAACCTCCTCCATCCCCCACAACCGAAGGCCCCAGCTTGCAGCCTGACTTAGCCCCCGAAGAGGCTGCCGGAATCCAGCGGCCCAAGAACCTGATGCAGACCCTCATGGAAGACTATGAGACACACAAATCTAAAAGGCGCGAGAGAATGGATGATAGTAGTGTAAGTTTTTCCTCCTTTCCTTTCACTTTCCGAGGGCGGCCGTCCTTGTGGTGTGTGGTGTACCAGTTCAGGTGTGGATGTGTATACAGTTGTCTCTGAATAGCATCGCGGTTCCAAAACCAATTTTCAAATGTGTGGTTTAACATGAGTGGATTGGGTTTGGGTTTCTGCCTTGGTTCCCAAACAGTGGCCTTTTCTGGCCAAGGATAGCTGGAGCCCACTGGCAAGGGTGGTGCACAAGATGTTTGGTGTGTGGAAAGACAACACGCACGGGCGATGCTGCGGGGAGGGAGCAGGAGTGAGCGCCAGGGAGCCACTTGACCTACTTTGTGCACATTCTGTGTTTTTAGAGAACTATGAAATGCTGCTTCTTCAAAATCTACATTGCGAGCAATCACTATAAATATTCCACAGTGCTCAAAAAGACAAGGGTGAGCTGGGAACGGTGACACACTCCTGTCATCCCAGTAAATTTGGAGGCTGAGGCAGGATGATTGTCCCAGAAACTCAGCAAGGCCCTGAGCAACTTAGTGAAACACCATCTCAAAATAAAAAGGACAGCAGTCATTGCTCAGTGGTAAAGCACAAAGCACCCCTCAATTCAATAACCCGGTTGCCCCCCACACCCCCTCCCCCGCCCCCCCAAAAAAGGAAGGCATGTGTTTTGGGTTGTTTCCAAGCCTCTTTTGCAGTTTGGCAAGAAAGAACCATTTTAAATGACAGTTGAAAACCACGCGACTACCCTGTCCCTGACCCCAGAACTTTGCATGCGGCTTTCACATGAACTATGAAGGAAGTCATCCACTCTGGTTTCTTTGTCCTGCAAGAGACTTTAGAGTTGTTCCATACGGTCCCAAGGAGCCTGGGATCAGCCTCAAGGTTTCACGCCATCCCCAAGGAGTGTCGGGCATCAGTCTCTTTGCATCCCTGGAAGTAATCAATCCCTGGCCCAGATGTGCTCGAGTCCCACCTAGCTGGGATTGCTAAACTGTCTAGTTGACCCCAGGAGGTCCTGGTTTATGCCTATTGTCCCGGCATAATGATGAATAGCACCCCTTTCCCTTTAAAAGGTATCCTGCTTTAGATAATGAACTACTCGGTCACCTTAAACTTGAGTGCCCTGGGGTTCACAGTAGGAAAGTTCGCACCCATTTACACTTTTCCTAACTCTGGCAGGCTCATCCCAGGTTAAAGGACTTCTGGGACGGAAGCCAGGACTGAAAGTTGCTTTCAAAATATGTGGTGAGAAAGAAAGGAAGAAAACGCACACAGGGGGAGCCTCTGGTCTGCTCTCTGAATTTCACAGTGGCTTGGGGCCTGGCCTGTGGTGTCTGCTGAGGACACTCCTATTGGGCTTCACTGTGGTGAAGGCAGCAGCTCCTTCCTGAGCCTGTGGGACATTTTCTGTCCACTGAGTCTCTTTAGCCAGCCCTTTTTTGCAGCCCCAGTTTTGGTACAGAGTTCACATTTAGGTATTTTTGGTGGTCTGTGGCTGCATTGAAAGGTGGTGCAGAAAAGTGTATCCAGAACATACATCAGCAGCTTTGGTGGAGGTCCGCCGAGTGGTTCCTTCATGTTACCAGGTGGACGGGAAAGAACAAATGGACCATTTTAGTAGCGACCCATTCAAATGTTTTCCAAGCACACTCTGTGTTATCTCTTGTATGTGCTTATTGTGTTGGAGTATAGATATTAGAGAAGAAACACTGTACACAGCAGGAAAGAGCCAATTCTTAGTCATTTGCTAGGCCGAGGGCTGAAGTGTCCTTCGTACCTGCTCTGACACACAGGCAGCCACCTCATGAAGGCCAGCCAGGTTGGATTTCCTTTTGGCATTAATGAAGCCAAAAGTAAAGTATGGAGTCAGCATTTTTATATTCTAATTGCCCTTCCCTTACACAGCGAAGAGGCAGCTTCCTATCTCTATTTTGCCCAAGTAAATCAACATTTCAGATAAGGAAGAAATCTACGAACAAATCAAGCTGTTGCTATTTCCAGGTCCTGGACGCAAGGCCCAGTGTTTTGAAGTAGAACTGACATTACAACCAAACCCAAGTGTGTTTTTAAAAATTCTAAGAACAGGACAAAACTTATTCAACCTGGTGTCTCCTCTTTTCAGAGATCCAGTCTCAAAAAAAATATACTCAGATTGCTTCTAAAGCAATTACATGATTTTCAGCCAGACTGGATTTCTGAGCCACCTCTTAGCATGTCTATTAGCCCTTCCAGTTTAGGGGATCTTTTCTGTTGTATCTATATGAGTCACTGGAAAATGCATTGACGTTTTCCCCCTAGCTGGTCTGTGGCCCTTTTCCGTTTTTCTTTAGTTGTCTCTTATATGAGAAGGACAATAACAGAGAGCAGGTGGGTTGCTTGGTAGCCTGGCTTCCTATCCTAGAAGCTAAGGGCAGTTCTTCTAAAAGTAAAATAATTCTGTTCTCCTGCTCTGTGCACATACACTATTAGCAGGGCAAAATGGCATTGTAGATTGTGTACCCTCTAAGAACCTCAAGTGGCTCACGCTGATGTCCCCAGTGTCACCCAGTGCCATACAGCATCTGCCCTGGCATCTCACCCGCCAACATTTCCTTCCTACAAGCCCCCTGGCAGCATTTCTGCCTGCCCTTTTGGAAATTTGAAACCACGTTTTAAGGATCCTGTGGGTTCTCCCCCAGGATCAAAACCCGAGCCTAGAAAGTAGCAAGTCATTTATAAATTGAATAAAAAGAATTCTTTCTTGCTCTGCATTCTCAAGGAAAATGCAAACCTAAAAGCAAAAATTACATATAACTGGGATATATCTGTGGTGAGATAACACCAGACACATTGATAGCAATGAGCATGAAGAAAGAGAAGGAGCCCGCATGAACCAAGCCTGCAGTTTCCCTGAGAGAATTCTGCCATCAGAACTGAGAAAAACTGTTGCCATTTAAAACAGGTCCAGGGCCCCCTAATCACATCAGAGCAGTGGCAGTATGTGGAGCTGTCCACAGCGCGGGGGCCCTGCTGTCTCCAGTTTTCCCACTTAAGGAAAAAAAAAAATGTACAAGACAGGCCAGGAGGCTTCTGGCTCAGGAAACCTACTCATTTTGCAGTTGGTGAGCAAAAAAGGTCAGCGACATATGGAACATTGCCCAAAAAAGTTATCCTCAGATGGCTGCACTTACTACTAGAACCTGAGCAAGGCACTCCCTTTGTGGTCAAAGTCCTCACCCACCTGGACGGACTTCCTGTACGGACATCAGTGGGTGTCTTCTTGCTCCATGTTTCTGCCCACTCATTAGTAGAGTCCTTGGCTAATTTTTTGAGGAAGGAGGGTTGTATGGCCACCCCCACACCCAGGGCAGCTTACCAGCCTACACAGATCCTTGCATGTATTAGAAAAAGACCCTGTTTCCTCAGGGAGGCTGCAGCTCTGCCCCAGCCTCAGTGTTCATCCTTTTAATCATTCACTCCTTTAACCTGGTAATTTTGCAGTGAGTGGGCCCAGATGTAGCCACCTGTCTTTAATTGCAGGTTTCTCTTCTCCGGAATTGTTATCTTACTGGAAATGCCCTTTTTCTGGATCTGATTGCCATCTCTGGTCAGTCCTGCAACTCATAATGGACTGATGAGTTATCCTTTCCTAAAGGGCTTCTTGGTGCCTTGCAAAGGAGCTGTCTTGAGGTGGGGATGGAGGAGACCCTGCCCACTGTAGATCTGGAGGGCGGTTGGGCTGGCGGGCACACATCAGGAGCTATTTGGATTGCTTTCCTTCAGGCCTCAAGAAGCCCTTTAGGGAATGGATTCACGAGGCCGTTGTGAGTTGCATGACTGCATTTAGTTAAACAGTATGCTTTTGTTCCCACTCCATGACCTGAGCCTAGGAAGGTGAAGATGAGGGTTCATTGGTTCTCTTGAACATGTTGGTAGATGCCTCCCCCTTTTCCAGCTAAAGGGAGGTGGCCTTCTGTGTATTCAGTCCCATCTTCACTTCTAACACAGGATCTACTCAGCAGGGTTTTCCTGTGTTTTCTGTCTCCCTCCCTCCCTTCCCCCCCCTCCCTCCCTCCCTTTTCTCCTGGCCTTCCTCCCCTCTCCCTGGCTGCTTTTTTTTTTTTTTTTTTTTGTGGTGGTGCTGGGGATTGAGCCCAGGGACCTGTGCATGTGAGGCAAGCACTCCACCAACTGAGCTAGATCCCCAGCCCCCAACGCTATTACTATTGAAAGTTCTTGCAACCACCCTTGCCTGTCTCTGAATAAGAGAAAGCCTCATCAGTTCCCTGGACTGTGTCAGAACTAGGGTCTGGCACTTCCTGCCTCTCTAGAAGAATTCCCATCTCAACTTTCCCTCTAAATGAAGTCATGCAGCTGTACTCTCACTGAGTGGGTGAAGGAAGCCCATCTGCCCCAGCGCCCCTCCCTTCCCCAGGCCCTAGAGGAAGCCCAGCCACAACCAAGGATGCTTCACGTTGCCCATCTCGTTCGAGGGCTCTCAGACCACAGGGAAGGTGCAAAGGAGAGGAGAGCTCCGAGCTCCTCACCTCCCAGCCCTTAGTCTGACCACTTCAGAACTGTAATTTTTAGGTGTTCCATGTAAGAAATTGCTGATGCCCACAGATTTGTAAGCCCATAGACTCAGGGGTACTAAGTCTATATGACTAACAGTACCCCAAACCAGTCAACTCCTCAGATGCCCTATGCAGTGTAAATGCAAGCTCATTACCACAATTCTGGAAGGGGCTGCCCCACATTGGTTTTTTTTTTTTTGTCTCCTTTCCCATAGTTAGATCTACTCGACCCCCAACCCCATGGATTTTTACAGAGGACTTTTAGTCTTCTATAAGAACTAAGATTATTTTAGTATTGTAGTGTTCATATTAATTCTAAGTAACCATCCTAACTGATGATCACAGGACCACCCCATTCCAGGGTACTGATGAGGGTGGCTGTGTATATGGTCACCCAAGGCCGTGCCCTCTTTAGAGATCAGGGTCTTCTTTGAGTGAACCTCAAGGTTC